CTCAAGCAATTTCGACTTGGTGCATCTATTCACGCAGCCTTTCAAAAGTAACTTTCTTAAGCCATAAACATATATTTAATTTTTTTAAAGTGCCTATTTAGCTTCAATAGCTCTTTTAAATAACTAAAATTGTCTACTAGATTGTGTCTGCATCAAAAACTTTCCAGCTGGAACGCATATTCGAGGTATCGGGTGGCTAGCTAACAGCAACATTCTCGCAGTTTTATCTGCTTCTATGGAGATTACTTTCTTGTCCACCGATCTTAAGGCGCCTATGATGACAATGGTAATTGCTTTGATATCATATTAGCTTTGATTTTTAAGACTGATTGTGTACACCTTCTAGAAAAGGTTTGCTTTTTCTAAAGTGTACCTCGCAATCTGTCATATTTAAAAAAAACAATTACCCTTCCAAATTTACGTTTTATGCACATTGCTAAAAACAAATTTTGTATGTAAAGCTTCACTTATTACTTTTCCCTCTTAATATCAGATGAAGGAAGCAAGCTTGTTCATTCTCCTATAGTACATGAGCTAGACCTTTCAACTTATCATAAGTGTGCCAAGTCTTCCAGTTTTCAGAGTTTGCCCTCTTCAACCCCATGCACTAAAGCGCTCTTATCCTCTGATGTTATCAACGATAACTGTTACCTTTCCGTGTTTCGAAAAAATGGAGAAACTTTTGTTTTGCGAATTTCTGATTGGACTCATCTCGCCCATGCTAGTAAGGAAACTCTAACAAAATGCTGCGAGGTATGTTGAGTTGGTTGCATCGCACGCATTTTCCTTGATAGTATCAATTTTCAGTCGCTAAGCAGTGCTGAGACCCAAACAACATTGTGCAAGTATCCGCCAAGAAATATTATAAACGTTAAAGACTCAGTGGTTGTGGTAGTGTCGCATTAACTTCCCCAGGTTTTTTGGGTATTAAAATGTAGTGTCTTAGGTACCTGAAGGGAAAGTTCCCCTCCAAATCTTAACAACGGGGTACTCTGAGTTTGACTCATTAGGAGATATTGAGACAGGTAATGTCTAATTCGGTTAATTTTATCGTTATTTGGTATTCCTGCCTTTATCAAGTAAAATTTAGCGGAATCTTATGTGAGAGTGCGCAGCTGTTGCAAAGCCCGCTTCCTTGTGGGTCTTACGGCAGAAGGTTCTGTTACTATAACCGATCTATGGACTTTTGCTACTGTACTCAGAAAAAACATGAGAACAAACGCGGTTGGTGTGTCTTGAATCACCTCTGTTTTGCTCGGCTCAGAAGCGTGCAGACTAGTTTTTCTTCCAGAATGAAGTCTTCTTTGATTTTATGTTTGTCGATAAGCCTGCAATCGGTCCAAAGATCGGGACGATTGCAGTTATTGTACAATGTGGAGATCATGTAGAGGTAAATTTCCATTTTCTTTTCCTTTATGATCCTTTACACTTCTCCTTATAGATGCAAGTCCGTTCTATGAAAACTCTCGAAGTGGCGTATCGTGTCACGGTGGCGAAAGAAACTGCTCTCTTGCCAGTATCTGAAACGGCTGATCGTGTCATCTTACTTGTGGAGCCATTTGGAACAAAAGTTTTGTGAGTATGCGTTTTATATTCAACTTGGCAAGTAATTTTCCGTGATGATACGTTTTTCTTGAAAAATCTCAACACTCTCCATTTCAATCACAAGCTGTTTTCAGAAGTGATGGAGATACAGTGAAAGTGCGAGAAATTGTTGAATCTCAACCTGAAATGAAATTCCAAAGACTGATAAGCAGAGGTCAGTTGGATCAAGCAGAACAGTTTGCCATACAATTTGGTCTAGATGTACAGGTATAGTTTTATCAAACTGCTAGATACAATCCGTACGGAGTGAATAAAATTCGTGTTATTACTTCAGAGAGTCCACGTAGCAAGAATGGATTACCTTTTCACACAAGCAACTGTAAATGGTTCCAACGAAGATTTCGAGAAATTGATGAAGTCTTTTGAAGCTGTCAAGGATCACAACATGGTAAAGAGAAAGTATCTCTTTGTAGTCAAATTACAGCTAGTTTTCTAGACATTGTAATATATTTGCTTTCACATGCTACCAGGAGATTTATGCTTGACTGAGTTTTGGTTGGATGTTTGCATACACGCTGCAGAAAATTCTACATGGTTGTTGTAAAATCCAATTGCTTCCTCTTACAAGTTGCTTCGTCCAAATATCCGTGCTTTTTTGGCGTTCCTATAGGACCATTACGCAATGCTTGACCTAAATTTGTATAGATGTTAGCAGCATCAGTAGTATTATTAAGGTTGGTGAGATATGCTTCTCTGGCGCCACAACATTTGACAAATATGACAGAATAATCAGCCTTTTGGCGTATGCGAAGAAGAGAGCGATCACTGGTAAGTCAAGTCTCTTCCAAATGCGCCATGTTGTTATAAATCCGGGTTCAGATGCTGAAACAATCGATCGTTTGGCCCGGGCGTCCTATATTCTGGCCACCTACCGTCTTACAATGGGCCCAGAGAACGCTCGTTTTGATGCTGGATCGGTATGGCAGAGTTTCATAGCCGGCGTTGATGGAGAAGGAGAATGGTGCGAGCTATTCTTTACTATGCTTGAGCATGGATTGATAAAGGTATGTGTCAAGGGCGTTAAAATAAGTGATTAGAGTTTTGAAAACAACGTCGCGGACAAGTTCTACTTTTGATTTACTTTATTGATGCGCACCTTTTCCTGTTCCGCTAGCGTTGACGTTAAAAGTACATTTAAGGAAGCAAGAATTCTATGGAACAGACATATAAATCACATTGCTCCATGCTTCAATGGAGTTGAATGTGTAGAGTTGACCGGTGGAAATTTAAAGAACTTTTTTGAAACCTTGCGGGCCGTTTTGCTTAGTGAGTTTTGCTTTTCGTTGAAAGCTTTTCCAAATCTATGGGAATGATATTCAATTTTAGGAGATCTGAGCGTGTGGCGTGATGTTATCGCTTTCTTGGAATTTGATTTTATTCCAGTTTGTTTATCAAAAATGTGCAAAGAGGTGAGTCCAGTTTTTTCGAATCTAAACTTTATGTGCTCAATAATTTTTGAAAAAAACTGCCATTAAGATATGCCCTCTACTGGTTGACTTCTTGCTTAGTCTTGCACATGATCTGGAAA